TAAGTGAAAAGATGTAGTTCAGAAATACTGCAAGGTCAGTATTCGTAGTCCATTTAGACTGGTAGCATTTCCAGAGAGGAACTCTTGACTGCCTTGTCTCCTCTCTTCCCAACTCCCCAGCCTGGTTAGCAAGTCCTAATAGGCTTATAGGGAGCTGAAACTAGTTGGGAACGGAGGAGATCTTGTTCCTCATAACGTATGGAAGAACTAAAGGGATTGTGATGGGTACCTTAAGCAGGGAAAGTGAACTGAAAAGGGTTAGGATCAAAGTAAGTCAGATAAAACGGGGCTGAAGATGAACACAGGGCGTTGACAGAGCTTTCAAGTCCTGGTTGGTTAATGGTGATGTGAAAAATAACTTTCTCAGGATTGCAATAGAAACATTATAGGGAGTTTGAGTGTTAAATGTTGCCTAGACAATGGTTCTTTTAGGAAACAGTACAAGTCTGGGTTATTTTTCTCTTTTTATATGTGGCCTGATGTATCTGAAAGAGTAATATTGTGCCCATTTTACCAACATTTAGTAAAATGCTATTTGTTTCTATTTACTGGGAAAGTTTAAATACTTTCTTTTGCATTTATTTGAAACCATTTCCAAGAACAATAATCTTGACAATACTTAGACTTAATGAATATTCATAACAACTTTCCATATTAATCTAAATTATTAGAAACGTAGTTTAGATAATTTGGTCTTTATCAAGTTTGTCAAATTATTGTCTTCATGGAAAAGTAGGTATGTGACTTGACTGTTTTGGTAGCCTCTTAAATTGCACAATAGTTGTACTCTGTCAAATTAGAACTGTACTAGGAGTATATTTGTTGTCACTTACATGCAAGATGGTAAATAAAAGCATGGCACTCTGTTGGACGGTTTATTTTTCACTCTGGCCATACACTGCTTTAGTAAGTTTGTAGAACTGATGAGATTATGGAATTACCAAATTTCTTAAATGGACACCACCGACATTATCCCAAAGGTATGACCTGAGAGCACAGTGCTGTGTCTTCAGGGCACAAGTGTAGTTGCTACTGTCCTTGTCCTGTCGCTTTAAAATGTTGACAGTTACAGCTGCTCACAAGATGTCTCTAACTTCCGCACAGCTGTGCACCACCAGCCCCTTCCCTTCCTTCTCGGGCTCACAATTTCTGCCTCCACCGATGATATTTCCATGTTTGATTCTAATGTACATTTCATAAGCAGGCACTTAGGGAGTGCTTACCATGGAATATACTGTTTCCAGACCTTCTTCTTAACTTTATCCTCCATTGGTCAAATCTTCAAGGCCTGTCATAGTAACTCCTCTGCCTTGTATTTCTCCTCCTCTGTTACTGGAAAATAACATAATTATTCATGTGGTGAATTACCCAAGTTCTTATTAGGGCATTCTGCTAGGTCTTGAGAAGTAAAATAAAAAGATTCCATTCTTTTCAGTGTTAAAACATTGTCACACCTGATATGCAAACACCACCATGATACAGTAAATAAAGATATTTCACATTTTCACTTTTTCTTCCCTCTGAGTTTAGAAACCTGGTGAAAATAGTTAAGTGTATTTCACTTCCTTAATTCAGCTACCATGTTTTGCACATAGTTGTGAGCAAATTGTTGAATGACAGAATGAACCACTCAGATGAAAGAGGAAGATGCCCAGAAAGACTTGAGGTAATCTCGCCTTAAAAACCATGGTGATAGTTTTCAGAGCCAGGGTGATACTTGGGTCTTGGCAGCTGCAGGGGCCCGTGTCTAGGTTCATGACCCTGATGCAGTCATGCATCACTATCATGCATCCACTATCTCTTGATATCTGAGGCTCCTGATACCATCAAAAATGAGAGGATAGGGAATGTACAGAGTTGGCCCCGCCCCTCACTGGCTGTAACACTAGGGAGAACTGGTCTTACCCCTCACTGGTAGAAACACTCCGGAGAGAGAGTCCTACACCACATTTGGGCAACACAGTAGAGCTGACCCTGTTCGCAGGAACATGTGCGAGCCGGCCCTGAGGGCATGAGAATGGGAGAGTAGGTCAGGCCGCTCCCATCTGCCATGTGGTAGTGTGGGTGAGGGAGAGATGCCCTTCCACCTTGCCCCTACTGCCTCCAGCTGGAGAGGGAGCTGACCCTTCCCTTTACCAGCTGTAACACTTGGCAAAGCGAGCCCTACTCCTCCTCTGGGGCAGCACAGTGGAGCCCACCCTATTGACGAGGGCACAGTTAAGCTGGCCTGAGAACATGAGTATGGGAGACCTGTGCCTGTCCCGCATCTGCCATGTGGTAGCATGGGTGGGTGAGAGATGCCCGCCCCCATCAACAGCAGAGGTTGGTGTGAGAGCTGGTCCTGAAGTCCTAAGAGCTGGAGAGCTTCCCCTGCCCTCCCCCCACCACTCAGGAGAGCAGACCCTGCACCTCACCTCACAGCACGGTAGAGCCAACCCTGTTGGTGGAAGGGTAGGTGAGCCAGCCCCCAAAGTGAGCATGGGAGAGCTATCTGTCTCAGATGCTGCTATCTGATTCGGCATCTGTCATGCGGAGGTGTGGATGGGGGAGAGGTGCCTTTCCTTACCCTCACCCCTACAGCCTGTGACAGAGGAGGGAGTTGACCCTCCCCCTTACCAGCTGCATCACTGAGAAAAACAGGTGCTGTTCCTCACCTGGGCAGCACAGTAGAGCTGACCCTGTAGGCAGGGGTGCAGATGAGATAACCCCGAGGGTGTGGGAGTGGGATGGCTGGCCACACCTCCCTCCTCTGCCATGTGGTGGTGAAGGCAAGGGAAAGATGCCCCCCCCCCCTTTACCCTGCCATCTGTGGTGGGTGAGGGAGCAGACCCTACCCCTTACCAACTGCAGCTCTCGGGAAAGTGGGCCCCTGCCCTTTGCCTGGGCAGCACAGTAGAGGTGACCCTGTTGGCAAAGGTGTGGGTGAGCCAGCCAACACGGGGGAGGTGGGAGAACTGGCCCTGAGGCCATAACAACGAGAGAGCTGTCCCTACCCCTCATCAGCTGCAGCACTTGGGAGAGTGGCGCCTACACCTCGCCTGGGCAGCACAGTAGAGCTGACCCTGAAGGTGTCGGTGTGGGAGATCCCACCCTGAGAAGGTGAAAGCCAGAGAACTAGCCCCGCCCCTTGCTCATTGCTGCCAGGGATGGACTAACCAGGGCAATGCTAGAGAGCTCCCCCTGGTGGTGAAGACGGGAGAGCTGGAGGGCTGACCAGCCTTGCAATTACCCAGGCCCAGAACCAGGGTTATGCATTGGCCCACCACGACATACGCCATCTGTGATCTGCTGGAGCATGGGGGTGGTGGTGGTGGTGGTGGAATGTGTGGTGGGGGAGGGTGGTGGGGGATGGGAATCCGGTCCTGTGGGCCCAGGGTTGCACGATGTCCATGACACAGGGCAGCAACAGGATGTCCAGGAAGAGTCCTAGTGAGGGCCCTGCGTCGATGGTGTAGCGGAGACCAGGGACCTCCAATCAGACCAATGATTCTTTGTGTTGAATGCTTGCATGTAAAAATGGATGGATAAAGGGGTTTACTGTATGATTCACTGTGTCACACTACAAACAAGATTTTCCCTTTCTTCCTTTTTTTCTCTTAAATTTTTATTTTCTTTTATTGAGGGTGGGTAGGTGGGATCAAGACGCATGATGTGAAAGACACAAAGAACAAATAAAAAGAAAGATTAAAAGAGTCAGAGGAATAGTACCTGTTTAAGCTTTTAGATTTTCATTCATTAGTACCAGGCCAACGCTGATCTTACTGAAGAGCATTCTGACTTACAAATTAAGGGATGTGCAATCACCTGGTCACTGTCATGAGGTCTGCTCAAATGCAATTTTCCCTAGGGCACTGCCAAGAATGTGGGCCTTCCTTCCCATTTCCGAACATTACAGTGTTCACAAGACAATTCCCTGACAGCTTCAACTCCAATCTGTTCCTTTCCATCACACCTAAACAAGGAACTTTTAAGGGTAGCTCTAGTCTAGCAGGATGAACACTATGGATCATATTAGAGACGCCCTCCTCGAGGCTGACTGAGAGAATCTCTGGAAGTAGTGTTCAGCAGCCATGTTTGCTCATGCTCTAGGATGGAGGTGTGTGAGATGAATTCTAAATGGTCTTATTAATAAAAAACCCAGAGCCAGATATTGGGGTAAAAACTGAGAGATCAGGGAAGCAGAAAGCAGCCAGTCACGTTCTTACCACTAGAAATCCTCAGCCCAAGATACCTACTTCCTGTATACCCACGGCTCTATGCCTTTCTGTCCCTGCCCTCCTACTTCCTCTCTCTGCCCGGCTACATCACTTCCTCTTTCTGCCCAGCTCTGTCACTTCCTGTCTGTCTGCACAGACCTCCAGACCTCCATTGTTAGTGCTGGGATTAAAGGCGTGTGCTACCTTGTCTGACTTCTATGTTTACTATAGTGGCTGGCTTTTTCCTCTGACCTTCAGATAAGCTTTATTGGGGTGCACAAATAAAATATCACCACAGAGGTGTTCAACCATTTCGGCTTCTCTAGGTCATATTAGAAGAGAATTATCTTATTTCGAATGTTAGATTGAATCTTTATGTGTTTCCTTTGAAAACTGTCAAGTAACATATGTATGTTGATTGAAAATAGAGTTGTAACTTTACCAAAATACAATTTTCCCAGAAATCTTGAAATCTGTTTTCAAACTATATCAAACTGAAAAGCAAGGCTACATGGTTTTTTTTTTTGCTGTATACAAAACTGCTCAGTCAATGTGTTGAAATACTTAAAATTGTTTGTCTTAATTTGAGCTTGTCCTAATTCCAGTTTCATCTGGATTTCTGTTATAGTTGGAAACATTGCATTAATGAGTAAGTTTTCATTTTGAATACATAGGCTTAATCCATTTAAATATAAAAATATTAAATCTTGCCGGGCGGTGGTGGCGCACGCCTTTAATCCCAGCACTCAGGAGGTAGAGGCAGGCGGATCTCTGTGAGTTCGAGGCCAGCCTGGGCTACCAAGTGAGCTCCAGGAAAGGCACAAAGCTACAAAGAGAAACCCTGTCTCGAAAAAACCAAAAAAAAAAAAAAAAAAAAAAAATTAAATCTTTAAGCCAGTTTTTAATTATTAAATTCTGACACAAATTCAGCTTTTGATTCCATAAACAACTTGATAACATGTCCTAAACCATAAAATATTTTCAACATTTGGTCTCAACTTAGCCATCTTACTTTTGAAAAGTAAATGATGTCTCCATAGTCAACATCAACACTTTAGAGGAATTCCTGAATTGGCTATGATTCGATCATTTGCCCTTCCAAGATTCACAGGTTGGTGACAATATACACGATATTGTCCATTTATAACGATTTTGTGCATACATTTCATTGTTGTGTTTTGCAGTCATACTTCTTCAAACATGGATTTGGGACAATGGTTACACTGTCTTCTGTTACATTACAGCCCCTGCTCCTTTATCTTCTGTCTCCAAGGCATTAGCAGTAACTCCTAGACACGTTGACAACAGACAAGAAAATTCCTTTAGCTTATTTTTTACTGCTTGGTATAAATCTTTTGATCTGGTTGTCTTCTAATAGCATGAAAGAAGCCATTTCTTCAGGAGCATGATGGTCATAAATGTTTAACAACAACGGCAAGATGAACTGTGTTTACGGCATCAGTGTGTCGACCCATCATTTAAGCATCAAATGTAAAATCTACTCCTCATAATTCATGCCATCCGGTTTCCTCAAATTGCATGCTTATAGTCTGGTGAAACAAACTGATTTTAGAACTATTACTCTTAAAGGGGATATCAAACCATGTTCCATTCATGATTTATTAAACTTACCACCAGTAAACAGTTCTGATATTTTTTCGCCATTAAATATGCTAACACATAAATAGATTTTGCAATAAAATCCCTCTGAGCTGTTACTTAGACAAGTTTTCTGTTGAAACGGGAGATTTATGTTTTTCAGTTCAGTTGTTTTGTCCTAATGATTCAGTCTGTGGAACACACTGAATTTGCCAGCTTGGCTTTGCATACAATGTCTGTCTTCTCAAATTAAGTCCAAATTCCCTGCAATTTAAGTCGAGTGCCTCAAAATCATCTTTTTAAGCAACCCTCCTTCATGCATAATTTTTCTTTTGTGATATTGTAGGGGCTATGTTGGAGATGAAAAATAATTGACAAGGGTTATGTTTGCTTATATCATGAAAAGTAATTGGCAGGAAAATAGGAAGGTTTGGGGCTTTCCCATCTCACCTGTGGATGTAGCATGAAGCACAGGGCTGACTGTAGAGCATGGTGGGTGATGTGTGGAGTTCAGTGAGGTGTCAAGTAACCCTAGTGACATAGGAGAATATTTTCCTGTCTTCTAAACAGTATTCAACGCCTATTGTTTACAATAGGAGACTGCATCATTATTGATCACCACTGTGTCTCACTCACCAAGTCACTATGAGCACATGTAACCTATGATGGTACCACTTCAAGTGTCTGCACTCAGAAGACAGCATCCTGGAAATGCATACCACCATCAAACTGAAGCCTTTGTAAATACATTCATAGCTGTATCAACAATTTAGTGTATGCTCTTATTTTCTAATTCCATCATTTCTGGCTCATTATTTCCATATATAGGTTCATATTTCCAATATAGGTTCAGCAAAAAAGTCTATTACCCAAGATATAAATAACATGGACTGCATTCATTTTTTCATTTCAAGCTGTACTCTATTGTGGCAGCTTCTAATTTTGTCATAATATATATATATAATTCTAAATATATATTTGATGTTAGTTTAATGTCGTCCCCCCCCCCAAGATTATAACTGTTTCTTGTCTTTACAAATATATCTTCTGATGTTTACTGGGCAGATTAAATTGCTTGGCTACACTTGCCCTCACAGCAGAATGAACCAAAGAAATTCAAATATTTTAGCATGTGTAAACTAGCTACTGAGAAAAAAAGGAACTGGCATCCTTATGAAATGTAGAGTAGAACTGGCCGTGGTGGCGCATACCTTTAAATCCCTCCAGAGGCAGGTGGATCTCTGAATTCAAGGCCAGCCTGGTCTAAAAGTGAGTTCTAGGACAGCCAGGGCTGCACAGAGAGACACTGTCTTAAAAAAACAAAAACAAAAGGAAAAAGAAAAGAAATGTAGAATATGTACATTTCTTGGATTTAGTCAATGGAGTGATGGCTTTTTTAAAACATAACTTTTTATTGAGTCTTTGGGTATTTCACATCATGTACCCTAATCCCACTCGTTTTCTTGTCTTTCCATATCTGCCCTTCATCCTTGTAGCCTACCCCAATCAAAGTTAATTAAAAAAAAAAAAAACCCGCTCCTCTGCCAAATACAGTGTTCCGTGCATGTACCATTCCACTCCTCTGTCTTCCCCAATCTCCATCACAGAATCTTTCATTGTAGTGGCATTCGAAGTCGCCATGTGTCACATAGTGTTTCCTTTGCCCCATCAGCCCACACTGCTTTTCTTTCAAATGTTTACTGCAATTAGTCATTAGGGTTAGTTCAAGGCCTTTGGCTTCTGCTACTACATCAATCCTGGACCCTCAGAGAAACTCTCAGACTTCCTGCTCTTGCCCTGGGTTGTGGGGAGATCCTGCAGTTATGGATTGGCAGGGCCGACCCCTTCCGCACGATCCAGCGGCTCCTCAATGGAGAAGATGTTGGGGTGGGTCAATTCAAAGCCCCAGCTCTGGGCCTGGGTGGTAGTTGAATTGGTCAGCCTGCCAGAATTCCCTCATCCACACCATTATAGCCAGCTCCCCCTCTGCCCAGGCGAGGGACAGGACCAGCTCTCCAGCATCTGCATCCCTTTGGGCAAGAGGTTGGGTCAGCTTTCCCATGCCCATGTCATAGGGGCTGGCTCTCCAGTGTCTCGCCGCCAAGGCCAGTTCTCCCACACTGCCCAGACGAGGGAGCAGGACCAGCTCTCCCACCAGCAACATCAACAAGAGGTAGGACCAGCTGTCCTGGGTCCTTGACAACAGGGCCTGCTTTCCCAGGCTGCCCAGACAAGATCAGCCAGAGAGAGTTGGGGGCAGCTCACCCACATCCAAGCCATGGAAGCCAGCTCTCCTGTCCACTCACTCGAGGGCCAGGACTGGCTCTCCTGCACCCATGTGTTGGTGCCAACTCTCCCAAGCGCATGTCACCCTTGGTACCACTGTGAGGTGGCTGGGGGTGTGGGAGGGGGCAGGGCCATCTCGGGGCAGTCCTCAGATGTCAACACGGCTTCTGGCAGCAGGTACAGATGCCGGACATTCTCACAGTCTTCTCTTGTAGCATGGGCCACTGACGTCCATCCAGACCCCGGCTGCATGGGGACAATAGACCCAGACATGGCCCTAGGCCACAGGAGGGGCCCACACAGCACCACAGTTTGGGTAGCTGAGCAGGGATCTCACATCACGGTGTTCCTCACATCAAGGTGTTCCTCACTGCCGTCCAGTTCCATCTCTCTTCATGGGGCACATTCTTTCCCATCTCTTCACAACATATTTTGCTTGTTTCTTGCTCTCGCATCTCTCCACCACGTACTTGCTCGCTTCCTCCCACTGTGCCTGGCCCAGCAAGGGCAGAGCCCAGCCTGTGGTGTCCTCGCCAGAGTGACAGCTTCTAGCAAGCAATTAGTACTAAATTTCCACCCTCTTCAAACCCCAGATTCACTTAGAACAATACAAGACAGAGCGGTGATCATCTTCCTGTCTCCCCTCTCCCTATACATTATCGTATAGTATGTGAATTTCAAGAAAGGAAAACAGTCATAGCTAGGCAGTGGTGGCACACGCCTTTAATCCCAGCACTCTGGGAGGCAGAGCCAGGCAGATCTCTGAGTTGGAGGCCAGCCTGGGCTACCAAGTGAGTTCCAGGAAAGGCGCAAAGCTACACAGAGAAAACCTGTCTCGAAAAACAAACAACAACAACAAAAAAAAAAAAAAAAAAGAAAAAGAAAAAGAAAGAAAGAAAGAAAGAAAGAAAGAAAGAAAGAAAGAAAGAAAGAAAGAAAGGAAAACAGTCATAATATTTATTATAAAAGTAATATTAGATGGATTGGGAACTAGTAAGGTATTGAACTGGAGGATTATTTTCTTCTTTAAGAACTAGGTACATCCCCCACAATTATTAATTGTGTGAGGAAACAGATGCTGTAGATCAAATGTTTATGCCCCTCCAATAATATGTTGAGACATAAACCCCAGTGTGAGGGTAAAAGTGGAGTCTTTGAGAATCAATTTATTTGCTTATTGAGGGCTCAGTTGAGGATTAATATGGGGTCCCATTAATATGGGATTAGTGCCACTATAAGAAGATCTCCAAACGTCCTCCTCATGTAAGGACACAGAAAAAAAAAAATGCTGCTTCTGAACCAAGAAGCATGTCCTCACCAGACAGAAACTCTACTTTTGACTTCATAGTCTCCAGAACTCCAAGAAACAACTTCCTGTTGTTCACAGTTCACCCAGCCTAGGGTGTGTTGTTATAGCACCCCGAAATGACTAACAGGGTTAGGAGGGCTAGAGAGAGGGTTTAACACAAGGCTGAGATGGCATGTGGTCTTAATGTTTCAAAAAGTGCTCTCTTAATTGTACGTTTTGCACGTTTTCAGGATGGTATCATTAGTGAGCACACAAGGCCCTGAGCCAGGCTATGTAGGTGCAGAGCGAGGCTTCACTGTTTGCTGTGTGATCATAAATCAACTTCTCCTCACTTCGGTTCCATCTGAAGCAAAGTGGAGGTCATATATTTAAGTATGTAAAAGTATACAAAAGTGTGGAGGCCCAAATTACTCAGGGTCAGAGAATCTGAGCTCGCTTTACCCAGCAGGGCTGCATAAGGAGATGATTTGGCACGGGCGTGTTTACCAGGTGTTTGGAAGGGTCTGCACTTGGCTGTATGGTGTGCTTTGATCTTGGAAGGGGGAGATCTTTTGCCTCTCTCCTTGGCATGTTGTAAAAAGCCTTTTGAATAAACCTTTGAGGCTGGTGGGTATTGATCCAGGCCCTCCCGAAGCTCTCCTCTGTTTCTGTCTTTCTTCTGGTCATCCAGGTCTCTCTTTCTATCTGATATTTTCTTAACCTTCTCTCCTCCTCCTAAGAACCCTAGAAAAGGTGGGAAAGGTAGGAGCTGGACTCCCTTGGCCTCCCACACAAAAGCACAACTGAATATAACTCACAATGAACATATAATTAGAAATACTATTATTCTGAAAAAAAAAAACAGTCCAGAAGAATAACAGGGCATAGTTCATAAATTTGTTAATATTTACTATATACTTCAGTAAAATTGTTTTATTTGACTATTATGTTTGGATTTCTGACTTCCCAGTAAATGAAAACACTCTATGAGATACTAGCTGGTACTGTAAATGTCAATGGAGCTGCTTGCTAGGTAGCATCATTGTCTTGCTGGGATGAGGAAAATGGTCATCATAAAACAACCAAAAATGTTAATGAGTAAAACCTAGGTAAGTTCTAAACTGGGTGTCAAAAGTCATGAGAACTACAGGAATCCAGAGGACCAACAATGCTAAGGTGGTGAGCAGTACAGAAGACAGAGCCGGGAAGAAGCAGTTTGTCACTAGTCCTAGTATGGATGGGCAACTTGATTTCTCAGTGCTTCCTGGATTCTTGGAGATGTTAAACAATGTGATTTAAATGTGCAATGCAATCTCTATAGACATTTAAAGGAGGGGCGTGCTGTGAGGGATAAACAAATGATTTAGGAGACAGGTATAACCAAATCAAAGACGGAGGCAGGGTTGTTTCATCGGTAGAGAGATAAATCTTTAAAACATTCATAAATACAAGAGAAAAAAAAAAGTCCACATGCGATTTTCTCATTGTTATGAAGTGATATAATAGCAAACTTTTTTTCTTCCTCCTGAATGGCCCTGTAACTTGGCTCAGCATTTGATGCTTCTCTGCATCTTGGTTTAGGCTAAAGTCCAAGAGTGTCTGTTATTTCCACAACAGTGTGAAAAGTCTTTAGGTAAAGAAACTGTGGCAGGTCAAAGAATAACTTAAAAGTCACAAAATCAATTGCAGCTCAATGTTTATTTGTTCACAAAGGAAGTAAAACAACACACTGATTTCAGCTCAGTAAGGCACATAGAACATTTGTTAAGAGGAAAAGGAAAGGGCCCAGAAAAATAATTGCTGTATTTTTTTTTTTTTTGCACATTTTTGGAGCTAATCTTTCTGCACATTTTTATTTTATTTGGATAACTGATTTATTTTCTAGCAGGAAGAGGCCAGTCTTTGCGTAGGGACACCCAACTTCAGAGTAGAAAGAAAAAACAAGTTGAACTTCCTGATATGCCATTCATTGTTAGCCAGTGTCTCTCTCGTCACCTCCAGTCTTAGCTGAACCGGGTACTACTTCCCCCAGGAGAGTTTTGGGGGTAATGCTGTTTTCCTTTAAACCCTCATTGCCAGACGCATATTTGAGCGTAGCCATACTCTGGGGGAGAGTCAATTTCCCAACGCAAAGAGCTGTAACGCTTTGCTCTAACAGGAATTGAAACATTAAATACGCAGAATTTAAGTCTCTCTTTGGCCTTACCCATCCATAAGGGTTAACATTGGCATTCTGACTTTAGCAAACTAAGAGACAGTGGCGATTACACATAAATTCTCTAAGTTGACTTGAATGAATGACCTTTCTTCTTTTAAAGTAGATTTTTTTTTTTTTTTAAGCTGAGGATTGAACTCAGGGCCTTGCACTTGCTAGGCAAGCGCTCTACCACTGAGCTAAATCCCCAACCCTTAAGTAGATATTTTAAAGAGACTGCCTGGAAAAACAAAACAACAACAACAACAAAAAGCACCTGATCATTGTTTCTACCCTCACAAAAGCAAATTCGGGCAAATGTTTGTTGACTTCATACCCACAAGCATGAAGCAGAAACTAAGATTATAACTCAATATGCGTCGTTTTAGAAATCAAAGTACTCTGAGATTGTATTTCCTCCAGTAATACCTAAGGGCTAAATTTGTGCATATGGCATTCATGTAGCCACCTGTAAGAAGCAGTTTTCTATTCATTTAAAAATGGAGAAATATCCAGATGCTTCATAGACATCGGGCAACGTATACAAACATCAAAATCGTCATAGAAATAAAAATTAACCTTATGAATGTCTTGTTTGCATGACAATAAAAACAGCAACGACACTTCTTTTTCAAAATCGGATTCTGCGCAATTCCTCAGTAGCCGCCATGAATTTCTGTCCGCAATTAAGGAAGGCCTGTGAGCTGGTGAATTCGTTTTTCTATTTCTGAGAAGCTCGATGAGATCTGATTTCATTAGACAATAGCTCCTATTTTTTAATTTATTTTGAGACAGTGGTTTAGATACTGCTGAAATTAATTCAGAGATTTACGAATACACGTTAATATAATTCTGCATCCATTTATGTAAATAAACGCAATCTCCCAGATATGATTAAATCTACAGCATCGTGTGAAAAGACAAAAAGAATACACTTGATTGACAAGCATAATTACCTGGGTAGCGAGTTCTCGCGCTACAGCTAGAAGCAGCTGCTACCCTGACGTCACAGGTTGCCATGGTAGCAGCAGCCCGAAGGAAAAGGGGTGGAGCTAAGCACTCACTGCGGTGCTGCGCTGCGTCTGCAGAGGACAAGGAAGAAACCTCTGCAGGGCTGACATCTGCCAAAATGAGCGGCCTGGATGAAGGCAACGAGCTCCCTCTCGCCAACACCACGACCCCCGCCCGTGCCCCGGAAGATCTGGATCTGAAGCAGAACCAGGAGCTCCGGGAGGAAACCGACGCGGCGCGGGCGATGGAGGCTGCAGGTGAGGCCGGTGCAGAGGGAGGCGCGCCCCCGGATTCCGAGCCCTGCGGCCCTGCGCTTTGCCTTGCAGCGGCTGAGAATCCCGGTGCCGCAGCGGCAGCCGGAGAGGGGCTGGTGGATGCTCTGTCTCCATCAAAG